AGTAAATTTGCAACTGATCAATTTGTGTTCACATCAAAGACGTTTCTCAGCATAAAACATTTTTGAGATTTACGCCGATGAACTCTTATCAAAATCCATGCAAAGAATAGTGGAGAAAGGTCATTGTAAATGAATAACATTTGCAACTGTGAATCGTTCTTTTATGTCGCAATAAGAAGAACAAAATTTCACTCTGTTGCAGACATATCGAACACATCTATTCTCTTATTTATATACAATGTTATTCCGGTGAACAAGGAAAATACTGTTGATCATACAATCAGAAAGTTAAACTTCATTGTCATACACGAATATATAACACTGATACTTTTCCGGACAAAAACTGCGGTGCATTTGTATTTCGTACTGTAAGTGTTATTCTAAGCAAGATTACAAAAGAACACTTCTCGGGCATAGATCAACACTATTTACCTATCGTATTCAAATGGCACACTGACAATCGATTTCTTTCAAACACACACACTAATTGTCAAATTTAATGATAGCAGACTGTGCTGTAAAATAGTTAAAAGCATTTTCTCTCGTCGAGAGAGATTAGACATATGTTCACACATTTGCTTTTGCTTCAACAAAACTGGTTTCTCATATTCTTCATTTCTTTCACAATCGACATATAACATGTTTTCTAACCAAGTTGCGATTTCTCATGTAATCTATCGCTAAACATTAAAGAAATCATCGCACACTACTTTTTCTATGATTTCAGTCTCGACCTGATCAAGCCAATCCATCACAACCAGCTCACATTCAATCGAGAACACGGTAAATTATCAGATGAATTGTAATTGAGAGAGTAATTATTTTGTCCTTTCTCTGATCTCTAGTCATGACAATAGTCATAGAACACGTGAAAAGATTCTAGCAACGTGTTTAGTAACAGCACTAATGCTCATTACCATAAGTCTCATTGTAGTAGTACCGATTATGGCAACGAAGAACTCAGCTAAATCAATATCTCAGACTACAACAACCATGGCAATGTTTAACGAACTGATCCAAACAAACATTTCAATTAAAAGTATGTATTATCGAAATTGTTTCGGATATACTGTGTGAATGATCGAATTCACTGGAACTAATCAATGCCAATCTGTACTTCATGTTTCTCCTTTCATCAACCAAGGAATAGTTTGATGGGAGATCGAAAACGAGTTTTCTCTCGAGGAATGTGATTTGTCTATGTGTAATGTGTTTAGAATGGACAACATCAGCAAAACTAAACATCAATCGGAATCGTCATACTGCAACTGTATTGCAAAATGGAAAGGTATTGGTCACTGGTGGATACAATCACAAAGGAGTTCTTCGTGAATGTGAACTATATGACCCATTAAGAGATCAATGGACACTCGTGGCAAGCATGTCTGCCGCAAGGCAAGATCACACCGCATCTTTGTTACCTAATGGTTTAGTCCTAGTGACTGGTGGTGAAAATTCTGATGGAGAGGTTTCGACTGCTGAACTATATAATGCATCAGTGAATACGTGGACGAACACACGAAGCATGATCCAGAAACGATCGGAACACACAGCCACTGTGCTGCAGAATGGAAAAGTGCTCGTTGCAGGTGGCTGGAACGAAGAAGGAGGAAATCTGGATACTGCTGAACTATACGATCCTCAGACAGGTGTTTGGACAGCTACTCAAAACATGAACTGCAGTCATGCATATCATCAAGCATCGTTGCTAACAAATGGAAAAGTACTAATCACTGGCGGACTCGGTTTTTGCTCCATAGGTATGTCCCCAAAGACGAGTGAGTTGTATGATCCGATATCAGGTGCGTGGATCAGAACAAATGACATGAACATTGATCGCTATCATCATACAGCAACTGTGCTCCAAGATGGAAGAGTGCTGGTAACTGGTGGACACGGTCTAGTCGGAGAGATATGGAACTCTACTGAATTGTTCAACCCATCGACGAATCAATGGAACACAACACGTAGTATGAACACCCCACGCTATGCTCATTCGGCGACTTTGCTACCAAATGGAAAAGTATTAGTCGTTGGCGGATTCTCCAGTGGCTCTACAGACAGTGCTGAACTGTACGATCCATCTACCGACGCTTGGACAGTCACTGGTAACATGAAATATCATCGCTCTGATCATACAGCATCTTTACTGACTAGTGGAGAAGTCTTGGTTGTTGGCGGATCTCTCGGTCCTCGTGCTGAGATCGCAGAAATATACTAGTGCGATGTCACTAGAAGAAGCGTTCTCGTGAATAATGCATGTAAAAGAAATGAGAAGTTTTATTTCTAAATAAAAACTCGAAAAGTATGATGAAAGTGGTTTATTCTTTAGATAATCGTAGGAAAATGCAATTCTTCAATCAAATACTTTTTTGGAGTTCACGAGTTTCAATCTCCTTCACTTGTGTTTTCATTCGTACTCTTAATTTATACTGTAAACATAGACCTCGAATAATGAGTTCTGTTTGTTCGATAATGTGAGTAATGAAGTACACAATGAATGAAAAGATCAGGATTATAGAAGAAATCGCAGATGTCGGTCTAAGTTTATGTAGAATCATTTAGTCTGAATCGAGCAGGTTTTCCGTTTGTATTCGGTTTCCGTTTGTTCACATCATTTGATAAAGCACCTCAGACTGGTGCGGTACCGATGCCAAGTGCAAGCGATCGTAGTCGTTAATCTGATGACAGGCAGGTTAATTTCTTTACTAGAAATTCTGATGGATTTTTTTTTCTCATTTTCCGTTAGTAATGCGTTAGTTGCTGTCGGTTATAGCGATCAGTCGCAGTCGTTCATTGTTCGAAATTCTTGGGGGACAGACTGGGTAAGGAAAGTCGTACACAAACAAATTGAATAAAACTTTTCGTTTAATATTCCACAGGGCGATCGTGGATACTGTTATATACCGTACGATCATATGACAGATGCAGATCTTTGTTTTGATGCGTGGACAATTCGTAGTCCCCAACCACCATTTCGGTCAATCGCACTGTGATTATAATGACAATAGGAATAGAGATAATCGTACAACTGAACAGTTCGACGAAGATGATTTTGGAATAAACTTTTTCGATAACGCTGCACGTGGCTTTGATGGCGATTCGCGGAATAGAGATGACCTTTTTTATTACGGCGACGGCGGAGGAAACAATCAGCAGTGGAGTGGAGACGATCGTTCTAATTACAATGATGGTGGAAGATATAATCAACAATGGGATGGAAGTGATCAGTTTACTTATAATGATCGGGGGGGATTATGGTCAGCAATGGAATAGAGATGATCAATCTGAACATCATCACATATGTTTATGATGTAGTTGTGAGCGTGAGAATAAATCATTCTTTTCGTTTTCTTCTCTCCATAATAGCTGTCGTAAGCTTTGAAAACTCACACAAGGTTGATCAACGCATAGATTTCAACTTCGAGCTATACCGAAAGGAATGAGTGGTTAACAGTATTATAATACTATTTATTAGGTCTAACCATGGAACTCAGTCATTTCTTGACGTTAATACGATCGCCCACGACTCGGTTTACCTGCCGTGTAGGGATTTAAAAACTAATTTGGTACTCTCATGTGATAATCTCTAAACACTTCGCGACAGTTCTTTATGCAAAGCCCGCAGCGTATACAATCGTTCTGTCTCGAACTCTATTGTGGTTTCGATGGGTCGTATTTAAGTAATCAGTTTGATTTATTAATCAGAAGAATATCTATTTTTGATCAGTATATTCTTTTGTGTTGAAAATCTATCTTGCATACTTCTTATCTTAGTAATTTAAACAGGTTTTTGCAAATCAGTAGTACGCCACAAACATTTCAGCTACTCCAGAGAAATAACACATAGAGCTCAGCGATTATTAAACCTACACATTAAACCAGGATAGGTCTCAGTACGGTTCCCGAGGTAGTATGGCAGACATAAAACTATGAGACAACTCGGACTACGCTCTCAGATAAATGATTGTGCAAAAATGTATCAAACCCATAAATCTTGGAGACATCTGCTCATGCATTTACTTTTGTTCTAATCTTTCTCTCCAACAAAACTAGTTTCTTTCTCTCCTCACTCAGCTCACAACCGACACACAACATGTTTTCTAATCAAGTTTCTGCGATCTCTCATGTAATTTATTGGTCAACATACTTCAATCTATCTTCCATTGTATTTTCTACTCTTTCAGTCAACATCTGATCAGCCTAATCCACCACAAACAACTGGTAGTCAATCGGAAATACGGTTAAGTATCAGATGAGTGGCGAAACGGAAGCAATGTCATTCTCTTTTTCTTGTATTTAGTTGTGAATACTGTCGACGAAAATGGAAGAAGATTTTTTTGACAAGTCTAGCAACAGCATTAATGATGACCATATGCGTTATCGTTTCAATAATTATCGCAAAGAAACATTCAGATCTATTGGTTACTGTAGCAAGACGGACAACAACAACAAGTGTTACCACAACAGCTGTGACGACGACGACAACAAGTGTTACGACAACAACTGCTACAACCATGTCCACGAAAGGTCTAAACATCCGTTCATTCTGTGCACACGTATTGTAGAGTTACACCTTAGTACGAANGATGACCATATGCGTTATCGTTTCAATAATTATCGCAAAGAAACATTCAGATCTATTGGTTACTGTAGCAAGACGGACAACAACAACAAGTGTTACCACAACAGCTGTGACGACGACGACAACAAGTGTTACGACAACAACTGCTACAACCATGTCCACGAAAGGTCTAAACATCCGTTCATTCTGTGCACACGTATTGTAGAGTTACACCTTAGTACGAAAAAGGATCAGATTCCTCTCCGTAGAGTTCGGCTGAGGAGAAGAATAATTCTTCGAATGAGCATCATTTGACCGTGTAAAGTGTGTTTAGGATGGACAACGGCAGCAGAACTAAACATCAATCGGAAGCGACATACAGCAACTGTATTGCAAAATGGAAAGGTATTGATCACTGGTGGACACAATGACAGTGGTGTCCTTCGTGAATGTGAACTATATGATCCATCAACAAATCGATGGACACTCGCTGCATACATGTCTGTCGCAAGGACAGAGCACACCGCATCTTTACTGAGTAATGGTTTAATCCTAGTGAGTGGTGGTGAAAATTTTGATGGATTTCTCTCGATTGCTGAACTGTATGATGTATCAGCGAATAGATGGACAAATATAAGAAGCATGACCCAGAAACGAGCTCGGCACACAGCCACTGTGCTGCAGAGTGGAAAAGTGCTCGTTACAGGTGGCTGGAGGAAAGGAGAAGGGCCTCTGTATACTGCTGAACTATACGATCCTCAGACTGGTGTTTGGGCAGCTATTCTAAACATGAACTGCAGTCATGCATATCATCAAGCATCGTTGTTAACAAATGGAAAAGTACTAATCACTGGTGGAGTCGGTTTTTGCTCCATAGGCATGTTCCGAAAGACGAGTGAGTTGTATGATCCGAAAGCAGATGCATGGATCAGAACAAATGACATGAACGTTGAGCGTGAAGGTCACACAGCAACTGTGCTCCAAGATGGAGGTGTGCTGGTAACTGGTAGAAGTGGTCTACCCGAAGCGATGCGGAACTCTACTGAATTGTTCGACCCTTTGACGAATCAATGGAACACAACACGTAGTATGAACACCCCACGCTATGGTCATTCCGCGATTTTGTTACCAAGTGGAAAAGTCTTAGTCGTTGGCGGATTCTCCAGTGCCTCTTCAGACAGTGCTGAACTGTACGATCCATCTACTGGCACTTGGACAGCCACTGGCAACATGAGATATCATCGCTCTTATCATACAGCATCTTTGCTGACTAGTGGAAAAGTCTTGGTTGTTGGCGGATCTTTGGGTCCTCCTGATGGAATCACAGAAGTATACGACAGCGAAATGTAACTAGACGAAGTATTCCCTTGAATTCTTCATATGAACGAAACGAGAGGTTCTAGTTCTAAATAAAAACTCGAGAAATATGATGAAAGTGATTCATTCTTTAGATAATCGTAGGAAAATGCAGTTCTTCAATCACAAAATTTTTGGAGTTCACTAGTTTCAGTCTCCTACACTTGTGTTTTCATTCGTACTCTTACTTTATACTGTAAACATTGACCTCGAATAACGACTTCTGTTCGGTTGATACTCTAGCAAATGAGGTACAAATAAACATATCTAGAAGTTCCGAAACACAAAATCAATGAGAAGATCAACATTGTCGAAGAAGTCGCAGATGTCCGTATATAAACTTATGCCAAAGCATTCCATGAGAGTCAGAATCATCTGAGTTTATCGCAATAATAATCATCCTTTTCAGAAACTCTTCATTGCGATAGTCACTCTTTCATTTCGCACACAACTTCTTTACAGCAGTGAGCGTTTGGAGCAAATATCTGGATCCTATACTGCATAAATCTTCTCAATTTCGTCAACGACTTGCTGAGATTGTATCCATGAAAACACAAACAGAAATATCTTTGTCACCATAACAACAAGCTCGTTCGAATGTCCAGCTGAAGTCATTCTTCCATAGTTATCACTTTTTGGGTGCGGTTGCTTCAACGTCGCTTACGCTATAATTGGATGGTCAACTAATTGTTTTCAGAGTATGTTCACTTCGCACTGCCATACGATTCTGTTCTTGTATTCCATCGTGCGGTTGTTGGTGCATATATTCGTGATCGACTCTCGACGAAGATCTCGCGAAACAAAGCTGTATGCATTCGCCCCTAAAAATTCGAACTCGACTTCTAAAGGGTTGACCACTTCCGTCTCTCTCGTCCTACATAAGTGTTCGTTGGAACGGATCCATTCTTCTTTTAGCCAACAGAAGACTTTCTACTAGTGATGAAATCTTGTCGCATACTGTTGCTAACAGACGAACATACTCTGATCGATTCTGCATACGTTCAGCTAGAG